CAAACTCCAACATCATTTAGAAACCAGATAAAAGAAGAAAACAGCATAATAAGTCTCATTTTGCACTGCACAGGTCCATGAGCTTGTCTTCACAGAGACAAGCTTAATAACAAGGTGAAGAGACTAATATCATCTGTACCAATAGGCACACAAATTGCAAATTCTGTACAAGATCATGGACATTATTCCCAGTCTCACCCCCATCAGTGTTATACCCAAACAGATTGAATCGGGATATGAGGGTAATTTGATAATTAAGCATTTAGACCACAGATTTGATTGATGAGATTGCCAGGTTTTGTTTGGGCAGTTACAGTAGATTGGATGTTATATTTTTCCAACCAAACATTATGTTGTTTCCTTCTACCTTTCCCTTCCTTGCGAATGTCTGTTAGCCACACAAATCCATGACTAATAATAGCTGGGCTTCTGTGGATGGGCAAAGCAACAAGGAGAGACAAAAAAATCTCTCTAATCAATTTTCCCAACCAAATCCTTTCTCACTCATCAAGTTACAATGCAGGACACCACCAACCAGATTAAATAATAAAAAAGTAATGGGTAAAGCCCATCCAGATAAAGGATCTAATATGGTAAAGATTAGCACGACATCGAGGTACAATGACAAACAGCAAAATAAAAAAGATCCCTACATGGTTTGGAAAAGACAACAAAAACCTAATGAACAAGATAGAAGGAAATTATTAGAAAGGATTTCAACTAAACATATCCTCATCCTTCTCTTTGATCACCGACAAGGAAGCCTCAATCTTCTATCCAAAACAAACTCTCACAAGAAAGGGAAACGCAGAAGGAAACGACGTAATGTTTGGTTGAAAAAAGATAACATCCAATTGACCGTAACTCTCCAAACAACACCTACCAATCTCATTGATCAAATCTGATATATAAATGCTTAATTACCAAATTACCCTCATATGCCAATTCAATCTGGCCGGGAATAACAATCAGTCTATCATTAAAAGAAAAATGTAAGGTTTGACTTAGGAATTAGGTGCAACTTAACTGAATGTCTAAAATCTGATACATAATAATGGAGATACTGAGCTCACGGAACACTTGCCTTTCATGAACAACAATGAAGCTGGAATATCCCCCCTTTGTGACTGTTCCATCTGAATCAAGTCCATTGAAAGTAAGGGTTGGTCCCTTGGAACAAAAGACCTCTAGAAAATCATCACAATACTCGCAGTTTCTGCATGAATTTACATACGTCCCCACCCCAATATGGTCACCAACCTTGAAGCCTTTAACATTGGAACCAGTTGCTGTGACAACTCCAACAATCTCATGCCTGTAACATTTAAATGTTGATGCCAAACTTTAGCATAAAAATATATAGTTGATTTTTTTCTCGTAGAAATGAACAAGTAGCATGTATTGCTATGTGGTGCAACTCATTACAGTTAGTAATTCTCGAATTATCTATGGTCCACTGTTTCTTCATATTTGAAATTTTAATCCTATTCTCATAAGAAACATGTTTCCACTTACAGATTTACTTAAGTAGATGGTAGTCTTTTAAATAGAAATAACTTTACTGGTCTGCCAATGCTGACAGAACAGAATAAATATATGCATATGGCCTTTAAATCAAAACTTTCTTGTAGATTCCATTTGTCTAAAAATTTCAGCTCATTTAGATCAGCTGATGCTTGTGATTAGCTTTAACTTACAAAATGTCAGAAGTACTAATAATAGAACAATAAAAGATACTAAGAATTTTTTATAGTGATCTGTTAACGTATATTAAAAAAATTTTACCTCTACACAAGCATATATTGGTTTTCTTAGCACTTGAGTATGTGATTTATACCAAGGTTCGTAATACCGTACCGTACCAGAGTTTCGATCTGGGCTCGGTACCGGTACGGTACGGTATACCGCTCGGTACACCCAAGTGTACCGAGCGGTATATTCAGGCGTGCCGAGCACTGTAGCAGTGCTGCAGTGCTACAGTGCTGCTACAGTGTCGGAACGGTAACATATGGTCCGCGTACCGAAAGTCTGTCGGACCGGTACTGCAAACCATGATTTATACAATACATTTTCACAATTAGACTATAAACGAGCAACATCATAATGAACTAAAACAAACATACCCAGGCACCAATGGGTACATCGAATCACCATGTTTATTTCTTGTCCAAACAACATCAGCAAAACAAACTCCACAATATTTTATCTTCAAAGAAATGTCATCTGCTCCAACAGATCTGCAAAAGTTTTTTTAAAAAAATAATTGTGATTCATTGGAAATTATTGTTCAATGAGACTTAGAAAATATTGCACAATATAATGAATGCATTAGACATAACCACAAAAGTAAACTTGATGTGAGGTAAGTCCTTGTATAACTTCAGTGTCTGCATGTCCTTGCTAGTTACAAGATTTGCAATATTTTCATTGACAACATGAATTCAGTAATGTGTTGATCTCATTTCTGATGTTCCCTGTGCCAAATGTTCATCTGAACTTAACAATATCTTTTATGCTTGCAAGTTCAAAGAGGACAGTATCACTGAGAAAAAGATTAACTTTTTTTCAATCTTCAACATGTAACAGACCTGCGGTCAAATCTATAGGGTGAAAGGGTTCCAGTCACATTTCTTGCTGCCCATGAAAGACAATTCCCATGACCAAGTTCGGCTGCCATTGTTGAATTAGCTGCTCACATTCCAAAAAATCAGACTGTTAAATGATGCACTCATATACATGATTAATAAAACAAGACAAAGAGCAATTAGATCTATAACACTAGTTGTTAGAAGCATGTTGGACAGATGGCAAGAATGTAGACAAAATTTGAAGATTTTTGCATCCAAGAGCCATATAAGAGAGGTTACTCCATAGATACTCTTTGCAATCCCCTTTTTTCTTTTGTTCCTTTGAGGGTTGTCGGGCATAGGACATCCACTGAGTAGAATTTATGAACACTGGAAGAACTTGTGCCTTTGGCAGACCTATGTATATTGTCATTCACTGTTATGCGAACAACATAAGTGCGCATGAACAAGCCACTTAAGCTTGTAAATAGATCAACAGCTTATCTTCAGAAGAAACTACCACATACAGTCTCATAGTACGGTTTTTCTCATAAAATTAGTGTTGCTAGAAATCATAATACAAATAAATATAAGAAAATTTTTAAAACGCTTTTATAGCCATTTAAATGTACTATAAGAACACAAAATTATGGAAAAGAAAAGCCAACTGACAGCGAAAGGTCAATTCTTTAACTTGTTTAGAAATTCAATACTCTCGGAAAACACAGAATCAGACTGCAATCTTGACAAACAAGAGACTTACTGACGTGAAAATCATAAAGAGGAAAATGCAGTACGATGTCTCTGCATACAACAACAAGAAGCTGGCTTGAAACAAAAAAAAAAAAATCAAACACAGTTTTACTTTCAGTGACATTATCGATCTGATTTCTTATCAGATTCAATATCAACTCCGGGATGCCCCCATTTTCCCTTCAAAAAAATAGCCAGGATGTATCTTGTAACATGATTATGCTGTGTTCTTCCTTACACGACCGTAATTAATGGAGATTAAAGTTTCTCTGCCTCAATTACTCCATATAGAATCCATGTTGTCGATCACTTAGCTGATCAAAGAAGCACAAAGGGAAGAAGAGGAGGACGAGGAGGAGGGAGCAACATGCTTTCTTGCGCAGCAGATCGGACGCAAACAAGAACCAGATGAATAGCTTATGAAGGAATACGAGGAAAAATCAAGAGTAAAAGTGAGGGCGATGAATGCGATCACCTGGCTTCGGCGGATTCGCTGGTGTTCTTGAGGAACCCTATCCGATTCAGTGCTCTCTGGTGCGTAAAGTGGAGGCTTCAAAGCATCATCTAAATCATTAGTACGAGATATTGTTTGTTCCATTTGATCCGACACCAACCGTTGGATTTCTACGACGAAGTATGACATCCGTTGGATCTTTTCCCGCTTCACTTGAACGGATCGCGGATTTCGTAACATTACCGCATCGATGACGTCACGCCCACAGAAAGCGCCCTACCGATCCGATAATTCAAATCCGAACCGTAACGTTTCGGATACGGATCCTTCGGATCCATGAGCATTATCGGATCGTAAATGCGTCCTGGCATACGTACATACGCTTCGAAATATTAGGCATGGATCCTCTTTCTGGATATTTATATAAATTTATCGGGTTTAGATAGGGATTCTGATGGATCCGACTTTAATCCGAGCCAACATGTGAGAACCTTAACACTAATAAAGAAAATTACCATACACAAAAATAAAAAAAAAGGAAAAAAAAAGCGTCTCGCTATTTTCTATCTTTTCCTTTAAATCTCTTGTTAGAATCATATTTCCTATCTTTTCCTATCTTTTCCTTACACTCACCTTGTTAGACTATATTTCCTATCTTTTCCTTTAAATCTCTTGTTAGAATCATATTTAATTAAATAAAATATATTATAAATTTTTAATTTTTAATTATAATTATGATTTCAATTATGTTTATGATAGGATTTCTTAAGGGATAATTTTAATAAAATTGTAGATCTATTCTAAATTTCTCTTATCACTTATAGATTCTCTATAAAGGATAAAAAAAAGGTAAATTTAATTCTGAATCTAGTTCTTATTGATATTGTTATTTCATTCTAATTATGTGATAATACGTTTACAAATCAGAAGAAAGGTATTCAAAATAAGATAATAGAATTAAATAAATTTAATTAAATAAAAAAATTTCAATAATAACATCCGAAGTCTCGTTCTAAGAATATGCTTTTTAAATATTTTAGACTGTAAAATATGCTTTCGTGTGACACATTGTATAGTCTTTTTTTGTTATTATTATTATGATATTTTCGTACTTTATATTGCTTGATTGATATATTATGATATCCAATAAGCCCATATTTTATTGGATCCATTGGGTGAGATCCAATAAGAGCACTCAATAAGAGCTTAGAGTGGATAATTGGATAAAGATTAAATTTTTATAAAACAAAGAATAATTGGATGGGAATCAAGTATCCAATATGCTAGGATAATTTGATAAAGATTTAATATATAATAGAATATGATTGATTAAGGTTAGCAGCAAAAGCTCTTTAAAAAGGGATGTGGGACTAAAAGGATTATAATGCTGAACCCCTTAGCCGCCACTTCCCTGACTTATCCCCTGCTTCTTCCTTGGCCAACTTCCCCTGCTATATTGCTGGTGGTGCACAAAAGTATGGAAAGAATGTATCACGAGAGAAGGTGTGTCGCCTCTTCATCCATCGTGTGAATCACCGCTAGAGGGAAGAATGTAAGAGCTCCTTCCTCCATGGATTGAGATTTGACTAGTTTTTCGCTTTTAATCATCACTCGTGATGTGATATAAATCTATATTTAGAAAATTGATTTATGTTTTATTTTTTTTGCTGTACATATGATGATTTCCCAAGTTTTCCAATACTAACAATCCTTGAGATTTATGTTGAATTTCTTGATACTAATAACATAGGTTACCTCATTCATATTAAAATTCTTTGTAAGAAATATCTTGATTTTGTGTAATAAATTAAGATCACTACTAGTAAATAAAATATCATCCACATATATGACTAATATAATAAACTTACTCCTATTAATCTTTAGATATATGTATTGATCAATAATATTTTTTTAAATTCGAAAGAAGTAATAATATCATGAAACTTTATATATCATTATCTAGAATCTTATCTAAAGCTATGAATAGATTTTCTAATTTTGCAAGCTTAATTTTTCTTTCTCTTTTCTATAAATCTTTCAGGTTATTATGTATAGATTTTTTTATCTACATCCTCATTCAAAAATATTATTTATATATTCATCTAATATAACATAAGATTATAATAAACTATTAATGTCATGATGATCCTCAACAAGTCCTTTTTAAAAATTAAAGAAAAATCTCGTTCTAATCAATGCCTTCTTTTTGAGAAAAATCTTTGACCATAAGTTTGACTTTATATCATTCGATATTACCCGTTAAGTTACATTTTATCTTAAAGACCTATTTGCAACTAATCTTTTTATAGTTATTTCATAATTCATTGTTTCCTAGACATCATTCTGGTCGATTAATTTTAACTCTTTTTTCATCACATCATATCACTTTTCTAAATCGTTATTTTTTATGACTTATGAAAATGATAAGGGATTTATTTTTATCCTTGTATCATAATTTGTTTTTGCAGATATACTACATAATCATCAAAAAGAGCATATCTCTTTTCCCTTTGAGATCTTTGTAAAATTATTGATTATGGTTGTTCAACAAGATTATTATTGGCGACATCACTATTATTTTCTTGTTCACCCTCATTAATTCTCTTAGTGTTTTAAGAAATAATAAAATATCAAACTGGAGATGATAAAAGAGAATTAACATATATATCTTCTTGATATCAAAATTAATCATTCAAGATTTTTTATTCCTAATGATTTCATAATTTTTTAGAAATATTATATTACTAAATTCTAGTATCCTGGTACTATGATTAGGGTAATAAAATCTGTATCTCTTGAATTTTTCTAAATAATCAATAAAAAATCTAAAAAGTTCTTGGATCTAATTTCTTTTTATGTGAATAAAAGACTCTTATTTTTATAGGACACTCTAAAATTGTAGATGTCTCAAACTAGGTTTTCTACCAATCCATAACTCAAATTGAGTTAATAGAACTGATTTACTAGAAATCCTATTTAAGATACATATAGTTGTCCTAAGAGCTTCACCCTACATTGACTCAAGTATAAAGGAACTCATCATACTCTTAATTATGTCCATAAGAATATGATTTTACCTTTCAAAAATATTATTTTGTTGTGGCATAAGGCATACTAAGCACAAATATCATGTTTTTCTATGAATTTAACAAAAAGATAACTATTTTGACTTGATTCGTTATATCTGCTATAAAATTTATCACCCCTATCAGATCTAATAATTTTAATTTTTTTATCTAATTATCTCTTGACCTCACTCATGTATATTTCAAGAGTGTTAATAACTTGAGAATTTTCATGTATTAGATACACATAATTATATCTGAACATGTTATCTATAAATGTGATGAAATATTTTTTTTTACTAAAATAAAGAATATGAAGTGGTTGTGATTTTTTTTAACATGCTTAGTCTGCTTTCCCTTGAGGTAATATATGCAAACATCAAAACAGTAAAGTCTAAATCTTCTAAAATATTATCCTTCATTAATCTTTTAATTTTTTTTATTTTTAGATACGCTCCAAATATTTATGCCATAATATAAAATATCTTTTATTATTGAAACTACGTTTCAATCTGACATTTGATTGCATGGTTATTAATGTCTTTGTAAACTTAAGATTAAAATTAATTCTATATAAACTATCACGTAAAATTCTAAAATCAATTTTTATCGAGTCATAAAATATACTGAGTTTATCATTACCAAAAGTAAAATAATATCTTAACTAATTAATTCTAGATAGTGAAACTAAATTTCCAGAAATAGTAGGAGCATAACATATGTCAGTAAGATCTATTAGATGACTCATCTTAGGGCATAGGCAAGAAGTCCTCGTTAATATCACTTTCGCTTTGAGACGATTTCCTATAACGATGAATCGTTTATATTTTTTTAGTTTTCGAGTTAAAAGAAATCTCTACACATTATTGGTAATATGAGTTGAAATATCAAAATCAATATACTAAGTATTAGAAGGAACTTCTATAATATTTGATTTTAAATATGCAAAGGTCGAGTTTAAAATCTTTGCACATTTTTATCTATCTCTTTAAATCAAGTCTTGTGTTTAATATAGTCCCTTTTCATATGTCCTCTCTTACCACAAAAGAAGTATTTTACTATAATAATATTCTTTAAATCAATTCTTTTCATAATGTTTTGAGTACTAGTCAAAACATTATGAAATCTTTCTTATCTTAATTTTAATTTTTCCTAAACATATATTAATCAACTTATTCAAGTCTCACTTATTTGTATTTGTATTATAGGGAATTTTGAATTAGTCAAACTAAGGAGGAAGATAATTAAGAATGAATTGCATGAGGAAATATTCATCCATATTTATGCATAATGCTTTAAGTTTCATAGCATTGTCAACCATATTGAAGATGTGATTTTGAATCTCTCGAGTATATCATACTAAGTTGTAGTCAGTTCATTCATTAATATTCTAGTTAATAATTTATCAACAAATTTAAATCTGTTATCAACAACCCTTAAATATTTCAATGCATTATTTATAGTCGATAATAGTATCTTTATATTATTTATAATTATCATTCTTATAAATATTAAGCCTAGCCGATTAGATATTTCCCAAGCATTCAAGTCTATGGGTCTTTCAATAAGTAATGCTAAATCAAAATCTAATACATATATTATGAATTACACGTATTCTAACTATTTTGAATAATTTGAACTAGAGAAAATTGGGACACTAGAAGCATCCGTATAGAAGGAAGTACCACTATAAAATATATAATAAAATTAATATTTTAAGTTTTTAAAATATGATGAACTATTAATACCATCAATATTTTACCTTTAAGTAAAATATTAACATATCTAATGTTCATTTAAAATTATCATATCATCCTTATGGAATAGTATTAATATCTTTGAATATCCAAAATAATATCATCCTACCTAATTATATTATTATTCAAAGAAGATTCTCCTTTAGGATTATCTAAATATCTAAATTATTTATACTATTATGAATATTATTTTCTTAATGTTATCCAGGGCTAATTTTTTAATATAATTTTATAAATTATTGGTCTAGGCTACTTTGGCAACTATAAGACTAATATAATAATATAAAATACCAATGTCTATGAGAAAATATTTATTATTATTTATATCCGATAAGGCTATCATCCTAGGCCACTTTGGTAACTACCAATTAGATAAAACTTATGGTTATAAGTTAAAATAATATTTATTAAATATCTTTTAATATAATTTATAACAAATTAATTTAATAATAATAACTATGATAATTATTGAACATTAATCTACATAAATGAAAACTCATATGATAATTATAATCATGATAAAATATAAATCATGCCTTTATATAAAAATAAATATAACTTTACAAACTTTAAGAATATACATGTGAATAATAATTATTCAAAATTATATTAGAGTTAATTATTGGAGTTTAATTATCATATGCAAAAATAAATTAGAAAACTATAAAAGAATACCATAATATATTTTTTTATTCCATATAAAATTCTAAATTAGACTAGTTAACCTTATTTAATTGGTTAAGGCTAAACATTAGCTCAATTAAATATGTCAAAAAGAAAAATTGATCAATAATTTGATTTTTCCTATATTCGATCAAAACTTTGATTAACTGAAACTAAATCCAATCAAGCAAACAAAATATAATTATGATCTTATCCAATTAAAATATTTAGTTAAAAATAAATCATATTAGTCAATTTTATAATGAAGGACATAAATAAAAAATTCTTAATTTTTTAGGGGTAAAACTATAATTTTAATAGGATATAAGTAGAATTATAAAGTTTTTGAATAATAGAACTATTAAAAGGATGTAAACTAGAATTAATAAGATTTATAAGGGTAAAACTATAATTTTGAAAATCAAAACCATAATTCCTTTATTGTGCCACAATCAACACGGTGTGTAATTGTTGGTTGCTTGGCCATCGCGGTGCACGATTGTCGGCTGTATGGTACTATGCCACTATGCACATACACGACTTAGCAAAGTCGTTGGGCTTTGGCATTTAGTGACATCGTCCGTAGCTAGTAGATGTCGTCGCAACAGCGTTGCTACAACTACCATCAGCAACAGTGTTGTGTAGTTGCCATAAGTAGCGGTGCTACTACAACCATCATATGCAGCAACGTTGTGTAGCCAACATAGCCGTTGTAGGGCTAGCGATCGTTGAAGATCATAGCCCTCAATAATACTATCATCAACAACAAATTATCGATGGTAGTCTATTGATCTAATGTAAGAATCTGGCATCTCTCGCAAACAAATTACATAATGGACTAAATAGAAAAGTAGATCCATAATATACATGGATCATTTAAGTATTGTAAATAAAAAACCAACAAATATAAGATATTTGATTTTAAAAAACTCGACTATGATACTAATTGTGAGCATAAAAAATCATAATATGCTATTGTTACGTGAAAAACTTTAATACTATAATTGAAATCAAATAACAATAGATCAATTTTATGATATGTATCTTTCGATGTCATTCAAAAAAACTTTTATCTAATCTGTAAGGGCACCGTCCTCGGATTCGAAAACCACAGTAATATCGATCTATAATAAGAACTAGACTTATCTTCTCCTCTCTTCATATCTTTCATATGATTACTATGATCGATGGATCAAAAATAAGGGAAGATAAAAAAAAATTATAATCTCTTAATAATATCACGTATCCACATCTCCACATATTATATTTTTAATCCATATGAGATCTTATTTATTTATAAATAAGAATAAAGAATCTAGAATAAATAATTATGAAAGTTCCTCTAACACTATGTTACACTAATCTAACTTTAAACACATGTAGAATGAATTAACTTCAAGATAATAGTTGGTGCATTTTGATCTAAAGAATTGGATCATGAGTTCAATACCAAGTTCATATGCTGTCCCAAGTAATTACCAAACTTGCAATCAGCTCTAGGTTACATTAGATATTCATCTAACTACCAAACTTGCAATCAGCTCTAGGTTCAATTAGATATTCATCTAATTACCAAACTTGCAATCAACTCTAGGTTACATTAGAAATTCATCTGCTGAGTATGTAAAAGATACGAGACAAACAAAGGAGAGGAACCAATACATACGGAACATTCAACAACTTTAATTTAAGCAACACTAAAAAATCTCTAAAAAATTAGAACTTCAAACAGGCCTCGGAAAACTTGTACATATGAGCACACAATTGTTTTTACATTTTCAAGATACTGAATAAACATGTAAAAGAGTTGTTTCCACAACAAACTTATTTGAATGAAAAGAAAACCTGCAACTAGTCTATTGAGAAACAGGATTATGGCATACATTTCTTGAGAAACAGGATTCAAATGAAAAAGATACAAAGGAAAACACTCGTATCCAGAATGGCAAAGACTCGAGGAATGATAGCATCAACAAGTCTCTGCAGATTAAATATCAGCTACTCTTTGCCTTCGGAACTCCACTTGTTCTCTTGAACCAAGGAATCCAGACGGATGTTCTCCTCTGGTACTCCCTGTAGGCCTCAGCCCGATGATCTTTCTTTAGCATCCGCCGTTCTACCAGCACTGTAACATATGCCAAGCACAAGCTATTCACCAGTGGGCCAATGAACATCCAACCTTGTCCAACATTCCAAGCATACACAAACAAGGACCACCACCAGAGCTGTTCCCCAAAGTAGTTTGGGTGGCGCGAGTAGCGCCAGATCCCGGTGTCAAGATTTGGCACTGAGGGTGCACCATGTTTACTTAAAGTTTCATTTTCGCTCACAAATTCATAGAGTTGTGTATCTGCAAAGTATGCGATAACTATTCCACTCAAGCATGCAACTGTAGCGAGAGAGTCCCAGATATTCCATGGTTTATCGCTCGAGTGAATAGCATACATTGGCAGGCATATGCCAATCAAAAAGACCTGTGAATAAAGAGCTTGTTAGGACCTGAATCACATCTGATAGAGAAAGATTTAAGTGTTTGATGTGATATTTAGCATAAAAGAAACTTCACAATAAATGAGGAACCAAGTTCAATTGGTCCTCATTGTTTAGATCTCTACTACTTTGCTAATTTAGAAACATTAGAAGATCATGAATTGACTCAATAGATGATGTAAAAAATATGGACATGATCTCAAGATATACCCAAAGCTAAAATTATTATAAGAAAACTGGAGTTAATGTAGTTTCTCCAATTAACTTATTTTTTCACAGATCTGTTAGCTATTTTGGTGCTAACCATTAGTAAAGTTATAATATACTAAAGGATGCTTTCATTATTGAAATACATATATACATATATATATATATATATATGTACACATATGTATACATATACATATGTATAAATATGTATACACACATATATATGCATATACATACATATATATATACATACACATACACATACATACACATATACATACATATATACATATATACATACATATATATACATATACATATATATACATACATATACATATATATACATACATATACATATATATACATACATATACATATATAT